AATCTTAATATTTAAATATTAGGGATGTAAATATTAAAAAATTATGGAATATGAAACAAGTTTAATAAAATGTAGCTCTAGCTGCCATTTGAAACTTTATGCCAAATTCAGCAGCAATAAAAACTGGTGAAAATGAGCACTCACACTATCTAAAAATGCTGTGATCCAGCCATCAATAAAGACACCGTGAAGACTGCTAAATCTATGGAATCCATGCTGAAACAAATGGAGCTATTCTAGAATTTAGAATTAGACAATAAACAATATCACAACGCATCTACATTCATTTTCAGGTCAGATGCAGTAAGTACTGAGGCAACATGAAGACTTAGCGTTTATTTTCCCCCATGTTTCCAAGCTATTGATCTTTCTTTTAATAGAATGAATTAATGGATTCCATGAAGCTATCGTTGCCTATGCTGGCCCTGATGAAGGTGTAATAAATGAACTGTCACACTTCCATAAGGCCCAGGACATCTGTTTAACAAATACACTTTCCCTTCCATAGCTCTTCTTCATTAGGGGTGTATGACTGGCAGGCTGCATGTTGTACTAACTTGAATAGAAGGGGATCAAAGTTGTTTTCTGACAACTAACATTTCCATAAACCACAGCTCTACGCTAACAAATTTTTAATCCCACTATGGATTGAAGATAAGAATCAATTAATAATCTTTTCTCATTAAGATCTACAACCTAGAAATGAAGTGCCAGCCTACTAACCAAAAAAAAAAAAAAAAAATCAAAACAAACAAAGAACTCAAAGTATCCTTTTGAACTGTGCATCCATAGATGGGAACTGGAAATAAACAAGATAAAAATGTGGTGGGGTAGTCCGCATGCTGTATTCAATTTAACAGCTATCCCACTGCTCTTTGCTGAGGAGGCTCTGTACATTACAGTTCTCCCAGCAGAGCTTTGCCTCCGGCCACATCTGTCAGTCAGGGAGCTTTTAAAATGTTATACAGCACCAAAAGTAACTAAAAGAGATTGAAGGACTTCAAAGAAAAGAGAACAATTCCCCCTTGGCTGGAAGGTTAGTAACCAAGCGCAAAACACAGAGCACTTTAACCCCTTCTCTGTCAGTCTCCCAGACTGCCTTCCGGAACGCGCGCTGTGGAGTCGGGAAAGAGCAATGCCAGCACTTGCTTCATTCCCTACAGCTGATGAATGGGAGGCTCAGAGAAAAATGGGAGGCTAATAGGTGTTGCAGTACAGGATTGCAGCACAGACTCCCTCATCAGCTGCAAAAGAGTTCACCATGAAGAATTTTCTTCTTTTTTAATTTAAAGCTCAGCAGTTGAAAGGCCAACAATTGAGAGTCCAGTACTCTGGCACTCAAGAAAACTGCTGAAGCTTGATGCTATGTAACACTTCAACAGTAAGAAACTGAGGCAGAGCGTCTCTCCCTGCCGCCTCTTCTTCCCCAGCATTTCATTGCTGGCTTTGTAGGAAGCGTAGTGGAAGTGGCCTGATAGAATATATTTAATAACACAGCTGCATCTTGTACGGAAATTCAAAGGCTAAGACTGATATTTCTTTTAGTCAGTGTTTATTGTTTTGCATTTTCTTTTTAAGCTACATGTTATTCTTCCAGTCAGGATGCCTAAACCTGTTTTGGTGCTTTTACGTTGTCATATGCTCATTAAATGTTTAAATTTAGCACCCTTAGATACCTCTGTCTGGAAAACTGCAATTAGGGTTAGGAGATGAGAATTTAGAAACCCAAACAGAAATTTAGCCATAAGGAAGGTACTATATTTCCTCAATTTTTTTAGGAATTATTTCCTCTGACGCTCATGTAGAGATACTTATCTAGTAGGAGAATTGTGCACAGATATGCACCCTCAATATATCTCTTCCTCGTACAATATGAAAGTACAGAAGGCCAAATTTTTCTTGGATCTTGCTTTTTTTCAAGATAAGTTGCTGCTAGTAATTTCTTCAGACTATTTTATATGGATTTAAGTACCATTATGCATGACATATTTAACCCATAATGAGAGCTACAGAGGGGAAGCCTGTATGAACTTACCCCCACCCATGCTCATGAAAAGCAAATAATTAATTAAATATT